AATACCGTATTTCTCGTTAATACCGTCCAATCAATTCATACCGTAGCGAATGCTGTCAATACAGTAAATATGCAGTTGCAATGAAATATGTCATCATCCTCATCATCATCATCAGCCTATTAACGTCCCCACTGCTGGGGCACATGCCTTCCCCATGAATGAAATAATGAGATTGGGCCGTGACATGCTTAAAAAACTATAACTATACCTAAATTTGTTAAGAGTGCTGCCATAAAGTGATTCTGAAGATCAAAAGTAGCGCTTCCTTCATAGTTGGGTCTTTTATCGTGATGCTTCTCCGACGCCTGTGCGACGAAGCTTCGGGAACCTAGTTGACATAATCATAGCTGTGTGTTAATAGTGTCTACCTAAATATTATGGTGCGTGTTTAGCCTCGCTCCGCTAGGATTCCGTAAAATCATTTGTTTGTTTTCGTCACAACTTACAAAGTTCATACATTCATTCATTATTTGTTATTTAAGAACAGTTTCAATTTTGAGATGGAGCCCGTAACGAAAATGATCTTAAAAATACAACTTTGACGGTCCTCCATTTCTTTGTAATTGAAAATAAAGAATAATTAGAATTAGTTGCATTTTAATTTTTGACGTGACAACGTCTTAAATTAGGTTGCGGCTGGGAGTCACTTATGAAAAAGTGTAACGCTCGGTAACGTTACGATGAGTCTCTCGTGTTAAGTTTAAGTTTACATGTACAATGTTTTAGTAAACAAAATATATTTCTATAGTTAAAATTTGTGCAATTCTTATTTTCATTCAATTCCTTGTTCCTATTGTGCAATTTAATTATATTCATATCAATAAATATTCTACCGAGAAAAAGACGTTGTCACGTAAAATCTTCGCCCGTAAAACCGACTTTACAGGCAACCATTTTTTAAGCATTTAACTGTTAGATGAGACATAAATATAATTAAAATTATATTTATAGTCTACTCAAAGAGCTCTAGACAATGATGTGTCAATCAAATATGCATGATAATTTTGTTAAAATTGGTTAAAATGCATTCTCGGAATATGTTCTGGTGACTAGCCTTATTATGTTTTTATTTATTTTTTAAGCATTTATGGCAGATTTTTTTCTAGTCCGTCCCGTCCGCTGCCTGATCCGCGTGGATTTTTTTCTAGTAAACTTTTCTTTAGATTTAAACATCTAGCAGTTAAATGCTTAAAAAATAAATAAAAACATAACTATAATTGCTATTTCTTCTTTCAAATGTTTAATATTTGAAAAAGTATTCATTTGACATTGTGGGTTACCTACAATGCGAAGAGATGGCGCTGCCTTGCAGCTTAAGGCTAGGAAAATTTCGACCCGGCGAATAGGGTCGTGGTAGCATAATGGTCAGAGCATTCGCCCGGATTGCGAAGGATGCGGGTTCGAGTCCCGTCCGCTGCCTGATCCGCGTGGATTTTTTTCTAGTAAACTTTTCTTTAGATTTAGCCTTATTATTTTATACAGGGCGTCCCACGGCTACCTCACACGGAGGGAAAGTATATTAAATATTGAAGATAGGACATTTTACTGAAAGAAGACATCATTTTATTTTTAATAATAACTAGAACTGCATTCACAGTTTTTTTTTAAATCTCCTGCTACAACTGGGAATCAAACTCGTGAAATTTCGAAAAAAATTACTGGGCATATTTTATGATAACCATCGAAAGGGTTAATCATAAGGATTATTTTTTGCTTAATAACATTGCATTTTAAATGAAAGGAATGTGAATTACGTGATAAAAATAATAAAGTTTTATACAAACTGTAGTACGTATGCATTTCTTTTTGAACTCACAGTTACAATGCGACTGGCAGCAATTTGTAATAATAATCATTCGAAAATGGAATACATTAATTTTCAAGTGTCAGTTCTTTTGTTTTTGTGAGTTTCAGTTACATTTATTTGCAATTTTTTGATAAAAATCAGCTGCCTTTAAAGTTACGTAGAGACTACGTAAATAAATCTCTTCGAATAGTCAAATCGGGTCTTTTAAATCGTGGAGACTTGCTATAGTTAAGGACAATGATCTATAATTAAAACTGCTGTAATAAGACATGTTTATTCAGTTGTGTTTTTAGTGGGAAACATCTATTCCGGTGTGTATTAGAGTGGCGATACTCAATGGTCCAAATATCTACAAGTAGCGTTGCCAGGCGATCGAATAAAACCGGACATAGTTAGGCTTTTTGATTGCGTGTCCGGCCAAAATTAATGGTGTCCGACTTGCCGGATTAGGGATGAAACGATACCATCTAGGTATCGATACTTTTACTCGATACTGTATCGCTCATAAAGTATCGATGCCTACTCGGTATCGAATGAAAAGTATCGATACTTACTTGTATCGATAAATTTTGACGAACGATATTACAATTTCAAATTCAGTCACTGTTTTAATTTAACTTAAACAAAAAAAATATCGGCTCAATGAACGAATACTGACTGACAGACTGAATAAATTGGAATAAATATAAATCATACGCAACAAAAATACAGTTAGTATTTTTGTTGCACTTTACCATAGAGTAAATAATCTGCCTATGAGTTTTTATGATACTTCAAAGTGAGTGACCGACAGATCACCGATACAAGTACTTACTTCACGATACTACTTGTTACTCATTTCTAGAGTATCGATGCCAAAAGTACTTGGTATCGAAAGAAAAGTATCGAGTAGTTACTTGTATTTACTCGTATCGTTCCATCCCTAGTCCGGATAAAGCCGGGGACATAGTAAGGCTTTTTGATTGCGTGTCCAGCCAAAATAAACGGTGTCCTACTTGTCCGGCTTTTGTTAGGCTTTTAAATTACGCAAACAAGCAAGCACAAGCTAATCGAATTCTGCGTCGCTTCCCCCTTGGGGGACGATCGCTTCCGATGTAGCTTGAAAGGCCTTCCCGCCCCTACGGGTGTATTCAGTCAGTACAAGTCTGACATAATCTTGCAGCCGGCTGCAGGGTATCCATAAGGATAACTCACTCGCTCCCCCGCCTGGTAGGAAACAAAATAAAGCGAGTTGAATGTCGGTCGCTTTTACATATTTTTTTTGTCGTACCTAATATTACTGAGTCACATAATCCTCAGTACCCATTATTGAGTCCGGCCTTTTTATTAGGTTATTAGGTTTGGCGACATGTTATAATAATACGCACCGTTAGGCACTTGCCCTTTTGTCGATGATGAACGAAAAGCGAGTAGAACTAGAAACGAGTTGTCGAGCAGTAGGAAACGAATGTGTAGTTTTGCGATGGTTTTATCGCTGGATTATAAGCGAATGTGCAATACAAAGGGCGATTACTCGCGCCACTCGCTTGCGGTGACAGTCTTTAACAAAATGCACACGCACGCGTTTTAACAGCCAAGCGATCACCGCTGAGCGAGTATTATCTCTGATAGCTCTGGTTTAAATCCCGGTGGGGTCGGATGTTTGTGTGATGAATACGAGCATTTGTACTCCAGTCAGAGATGTTTAATATGTATTTCTATATAAATATACTTATATATGTACAGTATATGTATTCTATCCGTTACCCTAGTATCCCATAACACAAGCCTTACAGTGCTTACTTTGGGGCTAGGCTAATTGGTGTGAATTTTGGAAATATTTATTTATTTATTTAAACTAGTGGAGAGAGTTCTCGCCGGCAATGTGAACAGTCAGCGAGCAACTAATAAGATTGCATGCATCTCTTTTGTTTACACGCGATGTGAAATGAAATGAAATCAAAAATTTTGTAATGGCCATCATAGCAATAGCATATGACAAAAATAAAAGTTCATCTATAGACGGCCAACCAGGACCCTGCCTCAGCGTAAGCTGACATTGTGAGAAAAGAAAATACTTCTCTGACCATGTCGGCGCTGGTATTAGGCAGGGCCTGTGCAAGGTCGCTTTAATGGTTCGTAAAACATTCAAAAACCAAGTAAACGCGAAAAATAGAACAATAGAAAATCCACATCACCATAGAGTATGTATATAATGGTGTCGACTCTGCAACAATTCTTCAAAGCCAAAACCAAACCCAACATCGGCCCCCCCTTTCACTCTGTATAGAGAATGACAAGGATACACCGCTGCCAAATCTAAGATTAGGTTCAAAGAATCATGTAATTACACGGAATATATCGAGCCCTTACCGCCAAATTATCGTAAACGACACTCGCCAAATTATCGTAAGCGACACTCGCCAAATTATCGTAAGCGACACTCGCCAAATTATCGTAAGCGACACTTTTGTCGAAATGCGTTTTTTGTGGAAACTAATATTTTAAACCGTAACGGACCCATCTCTGTTGATATTTCCCTCTATTCTTCCCTCTATTATATTATTACGGTGTTCTTTTGGAGGGAAATATCAACAGAGATGGGTCCGTTACGGTTTAAAATATTAGTTTCCACAAAAAACGCATTTCGACAAAAGTGTCGCTTACGATAATTTGGCGAATGTCGCTTACGATAATTTGGCGGTAAGGGCTCGATATTGTACGTTACTTGCGCGAGAAATAGTCGATAGTTATGTCGCTTCCTTGCCGGCGATGGGACCACTGTCTTATTTGATTAGTCAGAGCTCCGTTGGTGAAGCATAGATTTTGGCCTCCAGTATATTAATCGTTTTTAAGTGTATCTCATTGTCTTTATAAACTACTCGAAACAAAATAGAGCCCACCCCGTTTTTCAGCTAATATATATATTTTAATTTAAGTATATTTTTTTTAATTGGTATTTCAATTAAAATTTATAAAATGGGTGTTTAAAATTGGCATTTGCAAATTGTGTTAACATAAAGAACAGCGAAAATTAAAAGTTCTATGTGAATAACACAGTAATTACATTTTTTAAGAACATTAACACAAATTAACAAAAAAAATAAAGTTTGAATACGTATTATCAATATTTTCACACTAATTTACGAAAATTGTCTCTTTTAATAGTAATTTCACCAATCAATCATTAATTTATTTATAATTTTGTCATTAGACGGTGCTATGGGTTGTGGTGGTATACCTGTCGCTCCACCTGGTCCCCATAGAAATGAGGGTAGACGACCTGGAGCAGCCAGCACCTAGGGAGGTGAGTATTTGTCTATTTCCTTCTGTCATTTCAGCTGGGGCAGTGCTCTTCTCTATGGATGAAAGAGGGAGGTTATGCCTCACCTAACGCTGATTGGTGTGTGCTAACTACTGCAGGCGCATTCAGGACCAACAGCGTTTCCTCAGTTCTTAGTACAAAGGAGCCACACAACACAGAAAGAGGTTAAAACTTGGTTCTGATTGCGTCGTTGCTTGCGGATGTGAGCGCTGATTGGTTCGATTGTTTGATGTCGCGTCGTTTGATTGGCTATTATCTATTTGGTGGAAGTGAAGTGGGGGCGAGCCGGCGACATCACAAACGCGGTCTAATATCACCCTTCTAACCTCTTCCTGTGTTCTGTGGGAGGAGCTCATGACCGGTCATTGCACAAGTTGCTTAACTTTCAAGATCGTAGAGCGAACAAGCCAACTGCTGAGTGAAAGCATTTCTCAATCCCATCCACAGATCAACGGGTAGAGATCTCCAATGGGTAGATTACTAGATTTTTTTTTTATTAAGTTTACGATCAAATTGGCGGCCCGCGTCTAGAAGTTACCACCAGCGTACAGAAGCCCTCAGTCAAATAACATTACTTCTCGGTGGTTTCGTGTCCTTGTCGCTGAGTAAGGTTCCAGGGCTCCACGGGGTAGGGGATTGGGTCAGGGTAAGCAACGGTCCCGTCGAGGGGGGATGCCTAGGTGCTTCCGGGCATACCCCTGACCGCCAGGAGGAGGAGGAACCCCTGCCGGGGGTAACGTGGAGAGTCACCAGGATCCCACGAAACCCGTTCCGGTAGGCGAGGAAACACTGTTGGGTTTTTAGTGGGTAGCCCCCCCCCCCCCTCGTCCCGAGCAGCCGCTGAGCCAGTTTGGCTGAGCGGGTGGGCGGGATTTGGGGGGTGGAGGAGTCCCACATAACCCCGCCTCTCACCTAGGAGCGGGGTATGTATCAAGCATTTTCCCAAAAAAAAAGGGTAAGCAACGGTGCGAGGGATATAGTTTGTATCGCAAACGTCTATAACGGGTTCCCAGCGTTTTATTGGTCAAGGACCACTTTTACATTCTTATTTTTTGGCACGGACCACTATTTAGTCACTAATTAACTAAATTTTAGTGTAATAAAAATAAACTGTAATAATCAAACTGAGACTTTAATTAAAAATCTAATATGAAATTAAATAAAAAGAATTAATAACATCTTTAGCGGGCCCGCTAAATTCAAATTCATTCGCGGATCATATTTTGGCTTCTGCGGACCGCTGGATGGGAACCATTGGATAGGCTACGGGTTGCCGCTTACCATCAGGCTTTAATAAAAAGAAAGCTTTATCAATCACTATAGACTCAAAAAAATCAATACCTAATTTATTTAATGATCTTTTAATCTCTTCTTTCTCTCCTACTATTTATAGTCCCTAGCAATTTCCAAAACCTAATTTGAATTAACATGGTGAAGATTTTTTGTATTTCTCCCCAGCTAATAAAATGTCCTTCCCAAGTAGGGTTGTCAGATGCTGGCTTATATCAATTCCAGGACATTGGCACCCCCTCCCCCCCTGAAAAAATAAAGCATTAAATCAAATCTCTCATCAGCCCTCAGAATTTAAACATCTAGTAGGTGTCATTAGTTTATTTTGTTACGAAACTAGCACATTATCGGAATCGGGAACAATAAGGTCTAACTGCTGGACACGGGGCAACACGCAAAATTCCGGGACAATCCCGGCCTACTTACCTACTTATTTATTTAATCTTTATTGCCTTATATGCAAATGGCGGACTTAATGCCAATATGGCATTCTCTACCAGTCAACGGGAAAGAAAGTGCAGAGCGAATATAACGGCAAAGAATAAAAAAAAAGAAAGTTAACATCAAACTATGCGAAAAACAAAATTAAAACATAAACATAATTATATATACACATACATACATACATACATATCCTATATATCTAATAATATATTACACATAAACAAAATGTCATACGTCAAAAACATATACATATTTATACAGTGTCCGATTGTAGTAATCTGATTGAGCTTAAACGCTTTCCAATACATTAAAGTAATGTTCCCGCGCCAAAGTCTTAAACGCAGTCTTGTTTGGAGCGTTTCGCTACTTTTGGGTAATTAAAAAGAAACGAGAGACATATCACGTTACCAATTTGAACAATCTTTGACTTTGATGATATGTCACTCCACAGCAACCTCCAGCCGTGACGCAACGGCCGGAGCCCCACTACCAGTACCTGAACTTGGGCAAGTGCTTCCACATGCCACGCTCCGAGTGCCCTGCGGAGCCCGGCACCTGCCGCCGCGTGGGCAGCGTGTCTGTGCTCTGTTGCGACCTGGACAGCATCAGGCTGAAGGAGGCTCTTAGTAACACGAGTAAGTTCCAGTAATTCATTCTTCACCATTAAGTAAAGTACGTATTTGAGGAACTCGATGGAGCAAGTGTTTAGCGCGTTCGGCTGCGATCGTTGAAGTTAAGCAACTTTCGCAGTTGTCGGTCATTGGATGGGTGACCAAAAATTTACTATCTCGAGCTTCTCTGTGCTTCGGAAGGAACGTTAAGCAGTTGGTCCCGGCTGCATCTGCAGTCGTTAGCACCCGCCAATGCGCACCGGGCCCGCGTGATGGGTCATGGCCCAATCTCCCTATTCCATCCATAGGGAAGGCCTGTGCCCCAGCAGTGGACACATTAATAGACTGATGATGAATGTAAGTACGCCAAGTGATCACCGTCGCCCGCAGACACCTGCAACACCAGGAGTATCACAAATGCGGATATACTCTTTTCTTGAAGGTTTTCCGATCGTATTGATCTGGGAACATTGCTGGCGACAATGTATTGCAGAGTTTTGTCGAACATGGTAAAAAAATTCGACAGCATCTCACGGTTGTAGATGATCATCATTAGCCTATGAATGTCCCCACTGCTGGAGCACAGGCCTTCCCTATGGATGAAATAGTGAGATTTGGCCATGATCCACTATGCGGGCCCAGTGCGGATTGGCGGGTGCTAACTGCAGATGCAGCCGGAACCAAAGGTTTAACGTGCCTTCCGATGCCTGAGGAACTCGAGATAGAAGATTTTTGGTCACCCATCCAATGACCGACCACTGCGAAAGTTGCTTAACTTCAACGATCGCAGTCGAACGCGCTAACCACCAGCGCCATCGAGCTCCTCAAGGTTGTAGATAGTCACGCATTAAGATGATGGGGATGAAATTTTTGGCGCGATGTACGATGGTGACAGGCAGCAGCTGGAATTAATCCGAACAATTCCTCTGAACACTCTGACGATACAGAGCGAAGCATCATCCCTACGTAAAGTTTATGGGGCCTGATAGTCGTTCACTACCAGTTGTTACACTTCGAGAAGACAGTTACTCTGCTTCGATTGCTCAAAAAAGACACATCACTAAAAATAAAGTCACAGATCCAAAAGTAGGAAGACTATTTAAGGTTTACGCAAACAGAAGTTATGTTTACGTTTAGCATCTGGAAATATGCTGTTATATATCAGTGTTAGTTCTTTACATGCAATAAAGTTGAACCAATGTAAGACCATGATTATTGTTTGTGTGAAATATTGGCTTAGGCGCATCACAAACGATATGTTTTTGAAGTTATACTTCTTTAGCCGCGTTATGAAAAAATTATGAGAGTGAAATTTTAAGATGCGCGCGCATCACTGTAACACAAAAGTAACATAATGAAGTTAGCCGCGGGCGCGTTATGAAAAAATGATGAGAGTGAAATTTTAAGATGCGCGCGCAACACTGTAACAGAAAAGTAACACCATGAAGTCGGCCGCTAAACTGCACATTACTCGTAAGTCTCGAAAAAAAGCTTCCAACAAAATAGTAATAGGATCTCTTAGTCGCACATGTTGGGACGTTCGTCGCCTCTGATCACTGTTTTCATATTTATAATATTTATCTACATGTTTCTAGTTTCTATATTCTTAACACGTGTTATAATGTTATACAAATGCGAAATTTATATGTGCTAATAAATTTTATTCAGTAGTGATTTAAATTGAATATTTTGATTATTTATTAAATTTTTCAAATTAAAACTGAACTTTATTAACTGCGTTGACTATCCTTTTCCAATCCTTTTATTATCTTACTGTAATTATTTATCTGCATGCAATTAAAAACTATTTTTTAATAATTCCAAAAAGAAGTATAACTTCTCACGCGCGTACTTAAGTACACGCACCCATATTTTTTTCTGATTTAAATACTTAATTATAAAATTTATTGTAACTATATATTTATATTCTAAAGGATGTAATGGAAGGTGACTTCAGACGTATCTCTGAAGTTATTTTTCAACTTGACGACTCTGTATATAATAATAGAAGGGAGAAAAAAATAGGCCCTTGCTGAGTTTCTTGCCGGTTCTTCTCAGTACAAGGTCTCCCGCCGTAGTTTTGCGAACCGATGGCGTAGATTCTTGACCTTCACAAGTGCTTGTAACAGCCTAGACTGAATAAATGACTTTTCATTTCATTTCATTCATTCTATAATGTTTTTTTTATGATGAGCTATATAATTACCTTGATTTAACTACATTATACGAAAGTAGTATTAAGCCCAGTCTAAATTTTTACATGGGTTTAATACGTGGCAACTTGAAACCAATGATTGTATGAAAACAGGTGTATTTCTCTACGTTGATCAATTATCACTATTTCTTTAATACTTAAGGTGTAGTGTTTGTAGTTTTTGGCTACATTATTTTATTATAGAATTTTGGATTATTGTATGTGCTGGTGTATGTATTTCTTTGATAAAAGAAACCAGTCATGTTTTTTTTAATATGCTAAGTTTAATGCATTTCAATGCGTGAAAAGTTATATTAGTAAAGCAGTTTATTATTTCATTTTGTTATGTATACAGGGTCGTAGCTAGGGGAAGCATGATGGGGTCATGGTCTACCTTTTTTTTATTTTGACGTGACAACGTCTTAAATTAGGTTGCGGCTGGGAGTCACTTATGAAAAAGTGTAACGCTCGGTAACGTTACGATGAGTCTCTCGTGTTAAGTTTAAGTTTACATGTACAATGTTTTAGTAAACAAAATATATTTCTATAGTTAAAATTTGTGCAATTCTTATTTTCATTCAATTCCTTGTTCCTATTGTGCAATTTAATTATATTCATATCAATAAATATTCTACCGAGAAAAAGACGTTGTCACGTAAAATCTTCGCCCGTAAAACCGACTTTACAGGCAACCATTTTTTTTTTATTCGACTACCCCCTTTTTGTAACAGGACTTTTTCCTCTCTTTTTGTTTTGGTTTCTATTTGTTTTAGATTTCTCCCTCACTGGGTGCTCATTTTTTGCACCACATATGTATATATATATTTATATATATATGTTTTGAACATTCATTTTGCTCTTAATCTATTACATGTCATTTCATTTTGTCCTGTATTTTGTTTAAACATCTTATAAATCTATTTTATAGTTTAACTTCCTTAATACTATTTTACAAACTTTTTATTTCTTCTTTCTTACTTTTACATCTTATTTCTATATATCTTTCTTTTTCCATCTCGTTGTGAGGCTACATTTATAAGTTGCTTACAGATTTTACTTATGTTTACATTACTAGTTTTTATTTATCTCAATCACTTTCTCTACAACTTTATTACTATATTCTAAGAATACCCTTCCTTTCTTTCTTATTTTCCATTATTGAAGTGAAACTTCTTTATCGGCGTTGGAAAAAAAATTACCGTCACATTTTTTCGGTTACGCGTCACGTTTTTTTGGTTACGCGCCATCTTTTTTTTAAAAGAGCACTATTTACCTCATCCGAACAATTGCTTCTTCTGTCAACTTTAAAAAAAAAAGTATCGACAGCAAATATTCGTGTTTCAAGGTAAGGTAAGGTAAGGTAAGGTAAGGTAAGGTAAGGTAAGGTAAGGTAAGGTAAGGTAAGGTAAGGTAAGGTAAGGTAAGGTAAGGTAAGGTAAGGTAAGGTAAGGTGTAGTTATACCCCTTTAGTGGGTGAGTTTTTGAAAAATCTTAGCGCACGCCTATATATATGTATATTTCTGGAAAGTTGCATGTAGATCATTTTTCGAAAAAAATAAGGCCATAAAGAAGTTTCACTTCTTACGTGTGTACACTAGTACACGCACACACTTTTTTTTCACAATGTGTCTCTACCGATTTTTGTGTCTATGCGTGTCTGTAGTGTGTGTCTGTATGCTCCGTACAAAGGGCATTCTATGAGGGCATGGACGATGTCCTCCTCTACGCTTGGATCGCATATACAGCTAGGGCTAGTGTTGCCGATCGATAGTCGACTATCGAGGATTAATCGATAGTCTATCGATAGCCGACCAATCGTATGACAATCGATCGGCTTATCGATAGTATCGATATTATCGATAGTATCGATACTATCGATAGCACAGAACAAGCCAATACTATCGGATGAGTGAAATACTATCGATACTATCGATAGTATTGTAGGTCGGTAATAACAAACTATCGATAGTATCGATACTGTCGATTTTATTTGCAACTATACTATCGAAAGTTTAACAATTTGCAATAGTATTGTTTACAATTTTCAGGTATTATAGTCAATCACAATCAACTATTAGAATTAGCACAGCTCGATAGAAATGTTTATAAAAATATATATATCGGCCTCTAATAGTCCTCAACTACAATACTGTTAAAACATACCTAATACCATTGCAAATTGGTAGACTATCGATAGTCTAAAACAATCGCTAGTATCGATACTATCGATAGTTTTGTTGCAGATAAAATCAATGGTATCGATAGTATCGATACTATCAATAGTTTGTTATTAACGAACTACAATAGTATCGATAGTATCGATACTATTGCACTCATTCGATAGTATTGCCTTGTTCTATGCTATCGATAGTTTCGATACTATCGATTGTATCGATTCTATCGATAGGCCTATCGATAGGGTACATGATTTTCGATTTAAATTGTCGATAGTTTTCATATCGATAGTTCGGCAACACTAGCTAGGGCTATCGTTCTTCTTAAATCAGGAGGTAGGCAGAAAAACCTCCATGCCCTGTGAGTGTGGTCTACCTTAAAATACCATTGCCCTACCGTGAAACGGGGCAGCGGCAGGCATCGAGGCTGTTCTTATTACCGCTGCCCTATCTAAATATAGCCTTGTATTGATATCAGCAAAAATACTTATTACATACTAGCTGACTCGGCGAACTTCGTACCGCCCAAAAGTAATAATTTGCAATAAATTAAAATTGAGACTATAATTTGAGATTTAAACTATCCTATCTCTCAAGTTGGATCGAACTGCACATGGTGTGCGAATTTTATTATAATCGGTTAAGTGGTTTAGGAG